TGTTGTATTACAATGCTGCCACCTGCAACACCACCACCACCACCACTTGAGGTACGGATTGTTTGAGGATTTAGTTTTTGTACACCGGGACCAACAAATTGAGCTGGAATTGAAAGGGGAAGTACGCGGGTTGTTGCTTTGATTTTTTTGATGTTGATTTATTGGTTAAATGAATTGGTTGACTGGTTGAACGAGTGAACGAACGTTTGTATGTGATTAAATATTAGATACTTGGTTGTTGCTTTTGTTCTACACTTTTTGGCAAAATTATAATTTCTACATACTCTTTCTGTTAAATGAAAATGTTAGTAAGGAACATGTCGCATGTGCGGCTTTGGGGTGGACAGGGCAAGATTTGTGGAAAAAGGAGTGAGGAAAATGCGGTAGGTAGCGATTTGATTTCGCAAGGTTTGTTTACTGAAACAAGTAGTTACAAGTATCAAAATTTGTTCGACATTTACATACAAGAACATTGTGTGTATATTTGAATATGTGAATATGTTACACTTGTGCAGCTAATTGGTGCGGAAAGGGGGGAACATAGCTTTCTGCTTACATATTTAAGTACAGTTTGAGTTTAAACTAATTTTCAAATTTGTATCACAAAATGTGAAAATAAAGTAAAATTATTTGATGTACAAGCATTGTATGTGCAGCGGAATGACGTAATAATGCATCAATTTGTGATATGCAAGGATTGTTTTTTTGAGGTTAGAGTTGAGTAATGTGTTCAGGGAAAGGAGAGTGGCATTGTTTCGTTAGGAAGCAATGAGAAATGCAAAAAGAAAAAAGAATTAGTGTAGTTTCGGCAATTTTTGAAGTTTAATTTTAGTTTGCTTATCGTTGATATTTGTATGTTTTTGGGCGAAATAAATTTATATAAGCAATGATACAAAAAATTATATTTTTTAAAACAAAATTTTAACTTATTTTAGGATGAAGGCAAGGGCTGGCTCATTTCTTAGTTTTCAAACAATTTCAATGTTAAACATAAAGGTTATGTCTTCAATGTGCAGACGATTAAGGCAAGCTCTTTGAAAAATACAATTGACCTGCATAATTTAGAACCGGCCCTAGCGCTGCCAACAAGCGATTTGAGAATCTTGTTGCGGCTGTGTACTTCATTTACAATTACGGTTATGTGCGCTGGGGGCTAGCAAGCTGTCTAAGCAAGCTCTAAAATGTTAGGGTTATTAACGTGGATGCCTACGATCAGTTAAACTACAAACTGGTGACTAAGCAAGCTTCTAGATGTAGAAGTTAAATACCTTCGAGGGCTTCTACTTAGATTAGATCTCGAAAAAATACTGCGGTGGTGTGGCGGAGGTCAGTTTTCACGAAAATTACTGGACTTGAAAAGAAAGCCTCAGTTAGATATTCTAATTTGGTCGGACCAAAGTATTTTGCATTTCAATGCTTGTCCGTCGGAAACAGTGGATTTGGAGGCTTTTCCCTGAACGCATGTGAAAATAAGACAGATGTTTTGCAGCCTTGTGGTGGCTCGGCGTTGGGTTGTTTCTTTGGGTCCGACGGAGCAAATGTGCCGCCGTAACTCAACAATATTGAGCGATATCAATAGTTTAGATTTTAGAAGTTCTTCCTCGCAGAAAAATCGTGAAAGCAAACATGATACGTTTTTAAATCCCGCTTGGAAGACCTAATAAAACATGCCACAAATGCAATCTTCTAAAAAAAAATTTTACTTTTTCAAACCCATTCCAAAGATATCAATATTTCTAAAAAACTACTTAAGCATTAAGTCTCATAGTATATAAAATGTTCAACTTACCAATTGGCAATGTTAGCATTGTTGCTGTAGCACCGCCACCGCCTGCTGCATTTCCTGCATTGCCGACACCAGCACCACCGGTTCCAGCACCGCCCGCACCGGTATTCGTTAGCATCACAGTTTGTGTACCGGCAGTGGTCGCCGTACCGCCAGTAGGTAGATTCACAATCGTACCTGTTGGTGGTACATGTTGCACATGATTTTGCGTTTGCTGCGTCCCCGTTGCCGCTTGCAGCGTTATTGTATGCTGTTGCGACGATTGGTGTTGCTGCTGTTGGCTGTGTGTTGAGACAGGAACTGATACCAATAAACTACGTTGTTGCAAATGTGGCTGCTGACCAACTACGCCACTGCTACCGACCACACTGGCCGCAGCGTTGCTGTTACTTACTGCAGCACCAGCCGCTCCACTGCCGCCGCTAAGTACACACGAGACAGTGGCAGCGTTAGATTGCGCCTGCTGCTGTTGTTGTGATTGGCCATGCTGCTGTTGCACAGCGGCCTGCAGCTGCAACGAAAGCGGCTGAGCCAAGCCCGGTATTTGCACTTGCACATTCTGCAGTCCAGGAAAATTAGCTATGGCGCCTTGCAAGAGATTAATACCCTGTAAATTCAGCGTAGTCGTCGTGTTGGAGGCAGTTGATTGCTGTTGTTGTTGCTGATGCTGGTGGTGATGTTGTGGTGAGGGCGATGGCTGTGGATGTGGACTAGACATGGGCGAGTGTATGGATGTGGCAGCAGCTGGCGATTGTACCAACGTTTTCGCTAGATATTGTGTGTGCACGTGCGCTTGTTGTTGTTGTTGTTGTTGTTGTGGAGACATATTTGGTATCGCAGTCGCAGCAGTTCCACTACTGTTGTGTAGGCGCTCAAGCAGTACTTGATTCTGCGTTTGTGATGACGATTGTGAATGATCGGAGCCGGAAGGCGACGGCGTTGCCGCACCTAGCAGTGTCAAGCTGGTTGCGGTGCCAACTGAATTTGTGGCACTGGTTGGCTGCGGCACCGCAAAGCCACTGGCATTTGACGCATTCGAGTCGCTACCAGGTGATGGTGCGGCCACACCAACAACAATAGCATTCGGTGGCGCACCTGTGTTGCTAGAGTCTCGTCGTAATGCATTTGCCAACGCAACTCGTTGTTGCTGCGCGCCACTATTGAGTATTTTTATGCTGCCGCTCGATGCACCGCTCACGCTGCTTACAGTATTCACCGTGGCGCCGCCGCCACCAGCACCCAGCGCACTCACTGTGTAACCAAAGTTGGGCGCATTTGGATTCGTCATAATCGCTGGTGGCGAAGCTAATTGTGAGGCGAGAGCCGACATTGACACGCGCACCGTCTGATGCGTCTGCTGTGCCTGGGTGCCAGTCGTTTGCTGTTGCATCTGCTGGCCGTCCTGGCCTTGGTTTTGATGTTGGGCGGCTTGGTTCAGATTGACAGCAACCAAATTGCCCGCTGCAGTACGGAAGGTCGTGCCTCCTGCACTGGCAGTCACAATATTGCCACCGCTGGTGACGATATTGAATTTTCGATTAGGATTAAGGAGATTCTGCAGCACTTCGTTGTTGGTCTGCTTACGTTGCTGCACTGTTGTCGCCGCCGAAACAGTGGTTGGCTGTGTTGTCACCTGGACAAAGTTTTCACCGCTCACAATTGTTTGCTGTTGCTGCTGCTGGTGTTGTTGCTGCTGAGGCGTTGAAGATGTGTGTTGGACCTGTGTGACGGTCTGATGTTGACCGGTCGAAGTGGTGAAAGTGCCGCTGGCCACTGGTGTACTTGTCATAGCGGCAGGTGCGCTATTCAATAAGCTGCGTATGGAGGCGTTACTGCTATTTTTCACATTCGGGTTGCTGACACCACCGCTATTGTTGTTGGCTACAAGTAAATAAGATGGGAAATATTTGCATAAAAATGGATTAGACTGCCTGTATGATTTTACTCACAGTTCTGCTGCAGCTGTTGTTGTTGTTGTTGCTGCTGTTGCTTCTGTTGTTGGAATTGATTGGCGCTATTCATGATGTTGGTGAAGATTGCGTTTATCGCAGGATTTGTGTGTAATGTCGTCGTCGTCGAATTGCTACTATTGTTGCTACTGGCAGTACTGTGTTGCTGTTGTGTGGTTTTATGCAAGATCTGCTGCTGCTGTTGTGCAGTAAGTAATGGCGCGGCCTTGAGCTGCGCCTGCTGAAAAAAAAAAACAAGAAAATGAAACAAATTTAAAAATGGTCTGACTGTTCGTCAACAATCTTTCACCGTTATTTGCACAAACTTCAGACAATTGATTAAATTGAAAATTCGTGAACGGCTTAAGGACAATACAATATAATTGATTAAATTGATGATTTGACTCATTTTCAGTGATCAGAGAGAAGAAAAACTTTTTCTAAAACCAGACCATTCAGGTGACACTGGAGTCAATATATGTGCAAAACTATTATTTATTGTTGAGATTTTTTTAACTATAATTTATTATACATACCAATATTGGCACGCTGGAACTGAGTTGTGTGCGCAACGCTGAATTTGTGCCAGTAACGGCGTTCAATTGCGCCGCCGTGATGACCTGAGTCTTTTGCTGTTGCTGTTGTTGTTGTTGCTGCAAGTTGGCGGGCTGTATAGTAATACCGGCATGTTGCAGCGTTTGCGTTTGTTGCTGCTGTTGTTGTTGCTGCGCTTGCGTAAGTGGATGTTGTTGCACCAACACCAATGATCCGTTGCTAAGGCTTAGCTGCGTTGTCGTATGAGTATTGCCACCAGCAACCGAATGTAGTTGGATGTGTTGCGCTGGCTGCTGTTGTTGTTGCTGCTGCTGTTGCGCATGAATAATGCCCGCACTACCGCTACTGACATTGCCGCCGCTCGACTGTATGTGCATCGTTGTGCCGTTCGCATCTATAAATTGTGTTGTAATTTGTTGGTGTTGTTGCTGCTGCTGTTGTAGTTGTTGTTGGCGCAATACTTGTTGTACAGCAGCCGCATTGCTGGCAGTTAACCCGACAATGTTGATATTCTTCGTCAAATTACCGCCTGTTGGCGTTATAGCAATGTGTTGTTGTTGCTGCTGCTGCACGCCCCCGCCAACGGCGCAAACAGTTTGCGCAACTTGTTGTTGATGTCCAACAGTGCCTATGTGTTGTACGGTGGCGGGCAATATGTGCTGTTGCTGGCCATTCGGTCCGACCAACAAAACGTGTTGCTGTTGCGGCGTTTGTTGGTGTTGGCTGGCTGTGGTGCTTCCACTAGCCACTGCTGCAACAGTAACATGCTGAGCATTACCCGTCGAGGTCGTAGCATGTTGCACATGCTGTTGTTGTTGCTGTTGTTGTTGTTGTGCTGCTAATAGTGCCGCCTGTCGTTGTTGCATCAGCAAGGCCTGTCGCTGTTCCGGTGTGATGCCGGTGTGTGTTACCTTGGGCAAATGACCCGGCACCAAGTGCGTGATTTTAACTGCTTTGCGTCCCTCTTCGGTGAAAATCTCGGTGAATTGCTGTATGTATCGATTCGCATGTATGCGTGTGCCCAACGAAAAGCGACAAGACTCACCATTGCGTTCACCCTCACGGTAATCGCGATCCACATATAGCTCACCCAGGTACTCAGAATTCGAGGGTCGTTGAAAAATGGAAAGCTTTATGTGATAGATCACACGTCGCCCAGCATTTTCTTCACGTTCAGTTTCCAACACATACTCTTCGATCAATTGCGGCTGGCAGTCTGTGGTTTCGCGTGGCCGCTCATACGTCTTAGCATACTTTTCCACGCTTATAAGCTGCTCGGGTACTTTCAGATTCGATGGATATTCCAGCCGTGGCGGACGTATCGGTCGTATGACGTCACGCGGTCGACGTGGTACTTTCGACGAGAATGAAGTGAGCATTGCACTCACCAGGGGATTGCTGCTGGGCGCTGTGGCCGCGGCGGCATTAGCGTTCACCAGGCTACTTGTACGTGGCCGTGCGCGCAGTCGTGTCAAGTAGTCACATAACTCAAGTCCGTAATGATGAGTAAACTGATCCAATTTTCGTTTGCGATTTATTGAAATTTGCGTGTACTTTTTCATTTGACGTCGCAACTCATGCGTATTGAACAGTTGTCGCGCATTCTGGGCATTGATGGCAAAACGACCGATATTAGGATCGGGATCCAAACACAAAGGTTCCGCAGTGGCTAGCACTAACTGACTTTCCAGTTGTAATTTATCCTCTGCACTACAAATCGCCGCCGCCGCAGCTGATGCCGATGTCGTTGGATTAATGCTCAGATTCGTTGTGCTGGCCAAGTGCTGCACATCAGCAAATATGGTGGCATTTGTGGGCCGCAGAAGGACGTGTTTCGTATCACAGATATTCGTCGAAATAGCGAATGTTTGTCGAAAATCGCGTATTTGCGCAATTACACAGCCAGCGTAGAAGACATTCGGCTTAACGTAGGTACGTGCAGCTTCGCTGTCATCGTGCGAAGCGTTCAATGTGAGGCTGGGCGCATTCAACATGTCAACAAGAAAGTCCGGTATTACCTCACGATCAATGCACTGTAGCAATTGATCATTTTCGTAGGGCCAACGCAGTACTTCGATCAGTGGGTACTCATGTTGTTGATGTTGTTGTAAGCCATGTTCATCGGCTCTGCCGCCTGCAACTTTGAGCTTCAAGTCGGACGCATTTTCATAATCATTACCGGCGCCCTTTAAATCAGGCGGTATAGCGGCGAAACTTAGTTTACTGCTGCTGCTACTACTACCACTACTGCTGCCTATGCTACGACTAGAAGCACCTCTATAGGTGGTTGCAGAAGAAGTGCCACTCGTACCTGCTTGTATGCTCTCCGCGCCACCAGTGCCCGATACGTCACCTGCATGCACGAATTCGCCATTAGGCGTTAACAACTGCCGATCGTCATAGTGTAACGCTAATGAGTATCCTTTATTGCCCGGGTATAGGTTTACAACAATTGTATTCAGTTTTTCACTTTCTACCAAACGCTCCAGAACAAAAGCACGCGAACGCTGTTTGAGCTGCAAATAGATTAGGCACATACTAATTATAGTTTTATGCAAGAGTACAATCTTTTTTTTGGCATTGCATAGCTGATGTGGACTTTTTTAATTGAGAATTGGGGAGTTTGCCCGACACTTTTTAAGTTGAAAAATCACGGGCTCTTATACATAAATTACATTAATTTAAAAACATGTGCGTATAGGGTCAGAGGGAATCAGCACGAATCGGAATATATTTATATTAAATATTATAAAGCCTATATTGTAAAAAAAATATTAACAAGTTATGGTTCCGATATTTCGGGTCCCTTAAAAAGCCCGGGCCCGGGCGGACTAACCACTTTTTCCTCCCCCTCTTGACAGGCCTGATCCGAGTCCGGCGTCCATTTCAAACCATCACCACGTCAGGCTTCTAACATAACCTCATAGCCCAACCAAATCCAAGAAGTAACGTTTATGTAGATAATCTTAATAAACTTGAATCTTTTAGACAAAAGTCGATAATTAGAGCTTGTATAAGGAAGGAACTCTTGAAAAACTTTAGGTTTGGAGTTACAATACATACTGTATTAATAACTTCATTTTAATAATTATGTACTTAAGGACTTTTTGAGTTTCAGCGACCCCAAATTTGTTTCAGCACTGGTTTTTTATATATGTTTTGACAATGCGGACTTTTTTAGGTAGAGGCAAAACCTGATGGTCGCGTATAATAGGCTAAAAATTATGTTGCAGCTGCCCAAATTGAATTCCTATAGGCTTTATGAATTCCAAAAAGCAAACAGTTTAAAATAGAGCACACTAAAAAATATGCGCTAAATCTAACCTAACAAAGTATGCGTTGAAATTCTAGGATAATTATCAATCAATCATAGTACATTTGCTTACCCCAGTTTCCGTGAATGAGTTTAAATCATTAGCCAACAATTGTAGATAGTTTTCGCGGATTTTGTCATGAATGTTAAAGAACTTAGATGACGGCGATGATGATGATGTGCCACCTGAACTAGATGTTGTTGTGCTACCAGATGCACATGCCGCCGACGACGAGCTACTGTCGCGCTTGCTACCAGAATTACGCGCGGAAGATGCTGATGGTGATGATCGGCTTGTTGTTTCTTTTGAAATTTTTTGCCGTTTGCTAGGCGAGGAGGTAGGCGATGCAGACGATGACAGCGCACCAGCCAAGGGCGATGATGTACTTAACAAATGCTGAGGTGGATGATGATGCGTTGTTGTTGATGATTGTTGGTAGTGGTGCTGGTGATGATGATGTGAATGATTGCTGTGGTGTTGTTGTTGTGTACTTAAGGATGCGGAAGGACGTTTATCAGCCTTTTTGTTATTGTTATTACTGGTTATTGTAATATTGTTATTGTTGCTTTGATGCGCTGCTGTGGAGAATTGTGACGACTGCGTTAAAGATGTTAGAAATGCACTTGTACCCAAGCTACCATAAACTCCGATGTTAGATACATTTGATTCGCCGAGTGATGTTGTAGAATTTAAGCCTGGCGGTGTTGATAACAACAAATCGGGCACTACCGGCGAGGGGGAAGTGATCGAATTAAAGTTGGAAAGATTTGTCGATGATGAACAGGACGATGGTGATGGCACCGTAGATGTAGCTGTACCATGCGCTGACGCGTTCGTTGAAGGTTCAGCGAGTAGCACAATTCCATCCAAGCCACTTGTGCTACTAGCGATATTGCTGCTACCGCAACCGCCGCCAACACTACTGCTATTACTTGTCGCGAGTATTTCAACTGGCGGTACTTCACTTGGTGATTCAGTTCCATCATCGAAAATGCAATACGGAGGTTGGCTAGGAATCTGTGTGATATTACAATGTAGCAGACTTGAGTCAAGCAGTGAACTTTTACTGGAGAACGTTACACTGCTAAGTGGTGCTGGTGGCGGTGGAGATGTCAGTAGTTGTGGTTGTTGTGGCGGCGCGGGACACTGCAGCGCAGTTTGTAGATGCTGATAATGTGAGTATGGCGGTTGCTTCGATTGTTGTGGAATAGATTGATGCTGTTGATAAATTAATTGTTGATGCGGATGTTGTTGCCTCAATATGCTACTGCCACTGCCGCTCGCGTTCAACGCCGTTAACGTCGAATTGCTGCTGCTATTAATGCTAGTGCTAGAGCCTTTTAGCTTTTTAAGCGTGTCATTTATTATGAACTGCATTATCGGTGGAAAGCAATCAAGAAGGAAGCGCAGAGTTAATGAAATAATTCAGAAAAATACATTAAATTTTAATAAAATATTGTGAAATTTTCTTTTGTACTTACATCAGCTTCTTGACATGATGAATCCAAGCTTTGCATGGTGCCAGTGAATCCTTCCTACTTCGATAAAACTTAATCACCGACGACATTCAAATTTGATTCAATTCACTCTTTGAAATGTGCATCAAATAAAAGCGCCAAAAAATTTCTGGAACCCAAAACACAAATCCAGCTCTGAGTATGCTTAGAGCACCTTTAAAGCACTGCCTTTATATAAGCAAAAAAAAAGCTTCTGTGTCGCCTCCTTTTATTACTTAAGATATACGTTTTAGTACTCTTGCAGAGGGTATAATTTTAATTAGTTGGAATGCCGTTGTATTTGCGACTTTTTTGTATATATTTTTTCAATTTTACGGTATTATTTAATAGAATTCTACAGCAAATAAATGGCTTACAGTCGCAGAAATGCAGTAGGAATCCACCTATTCGGGGAGTGCGTAAGCCAATTTATTGAATTCAATAACAATTTATGTACCTTTACGTTCTATCAGAAGAAACACAGGCATACGAAGATAATCCTTTGCTTGTTGTTGTTATTAGTTTTGCTACTCCAGTTAGTGGTGCTGGCATACTGGCGAACCTAATGAATATTAACTTCCTATAAATAGCCTTTTCTTCAGTGTTTCATATAGTATTAATTGATTTCACTACTGCTAACAATTATGGTGGGTGGGTAGCACAATTACTATGTCACATCGCCTTTTTTTGCACTTTTTAACTTTCCGCCTCTTTTGGTTTACTAAACTTTTACTTTACTTAATCTTTTTAAGAAACATGTGTATCCTTGATATCTTATTGGTATTTTTGTTTTTTTAATTTTCTTGTTAAGATTATTAGAGGTATGCCGTTTCCGTTGTAGTTGTCTTTTAATGTAACCCTTTTTTAAATGTTTTTGAGTCGGGAGTGAAATACCACTGCCGTCTAAGCGTAGACGCCTTCTTACGTAGTTTTCTAAAAACTTTTTGTACACCAACTTTTTTAAAGTTTGTTGTACGCAAAGTTTTCTACGATGTTCTTGTATCACTTTTTGACAAATTGTCTGGTTTTATTCAATTCCATTTGTATACTATAACTACTTCTCTTTTTAGCATTTGTTAACCGTTTTCTTTTGCGTTTTTTGGTTTGTTTTGCTCATCAATTTGTTAATGAAATCTGAAAATGAAAAGAAAAAATTATGAGATACATATGTTTTAACCAGGAAAAAAACAGCTAAGGATATAATTAAATTCCCTTGCATAGACGAATATTTTTAATGTACAAGAAGGGATCAGGAAAATTAACTGAAAAAGTATGATATGTTACAAAATATCTTTGCATAATTTCTTTTTTTTGTTCCCATTTTTATCCTCATGTACACACATACACTCATATCCTCGGGCATTGTGCTCCTTAGTGGGCAATGCAAATTTCTAGTTTACTCCTGTCCAATTATACCGCTTACTTGCCCCTTTCTTCGAATTCTTGAATCCTAGCAAAAATTATCGCATTAGTACTAAAGAAATCTCAAGTTTTAAATAAAGACGTTCAACATTTGCATTTACGCTTTCAGACTTTTTTCATCATCACCACCACCCTTCGGACTTATGTATTTGCAGTGGCCATTACACAAGGTTTCTTGTTAAAAACAAATATTTTCACTTTGGTATATTTTATATGCAGCGTTAAATTTCTTTTAAAATAATATTTTTACCAAAATATTTCCTTATGAAAATGTGAAAAAAGTTTTGCAATGTTTGCATTTGACACGATTTTCTTGGTTTCCCTTTTGTGTCTGCTTTCTGTCTTTTCTTCGCTCTCACTTGGTAGAATAATATTGTTAGCGTTGCCACTGAAGTAGTTTCGATGAAAACTCATTAACCCAAAATACAAGATCACGCAAGAACGCGACGTTTTGAAAAATAAAATAAAAATTCGTGTAAGCGGGTTCGTCAGCGAGTATTTCTTTACATCACAAACACCACTACTTTACACTTTTCTTTAAATGTAAGAAAAAATTGTTGTGCTGCTGTAAGGTCAAACGAATTTCCCGAAAAATTTTGGTGAATACAGTTGAATCTGGTTCGTTCCAGTTAAGTAAACCCGATTGAAATTGGGCGGTTAATTGTGCATACTTCATATTGGTAGTACCCAGGTTTTTTAGCTGGTTAGTGGAAGAACTACGATATTTAAATACTTCTCTTCCTGTTGTTCCTAATTCTTTGAAAGCAGTGACAATTTGGGCCAGTTTTGCAGTGTCAATTTAAATTTAAACCACGTAAAATGTATTCATATTAAACATCTTGCTAATTTTAGCGTAGCTCGAGCATTTGACCAAAGTTTAAATCAGTCATATTCAACCGTAGACTGAAAAACTGGCCTTAAGAGGTTAAATTCATAAACTAGGGAAATATGTAATTCTCTTAAAGAGAGCCCAAAAATGCAATGCATTAATTTTTGAAATGTAACGTTAATGAAACTTTCAATACATTAATTCCGAAGAAATAATGGTAATGCATTTTTTTGCATTAACCTTAAAATTTTTAAATGAATACTATTACAATAATATATTACATTAAAAGTATAGCCACCGTCAAAGTCCCGATAACTAATTTTATTTTTATGTTGAAGTTTTCGCTGAGGGGAGAATTTTGAGGTCAAAAAAGATAGTGGCTGAAGTTAAGGCACAAACTCAAATTCAATGGCATTTGCCGTCAAATAGGTAAAAACACGGTTGTGATTGATTTAGATCAGAATAGGTCTTCAGTCGTGTACATGTGCTTATAAATTCGCTATCTGTCCATTTTAGGCCCATAATATTATCGGTATGCATCAACAATCAACATAAAAATCTACTATAGCGCACTGAGTTGCACGCATATTGTTTTGTTTTTCATAAGACAGTGCAAATTGAGAGAGTAAAAATGACAGCTGAACATGCACGTTTTAAAGTTTAAACATAATCAAATCGCCCATGATTCAATAATACAAGGTTAGATAATTATTGACAGCCGCGGTTTGACACTCCCTTACAAAAGGTTGCATTTACGAAGGACAGAGAAAGGTGAAGAATGCAATCCCTTGTTGCGAAAATGGTAGTAGAAAAGTACGCAAGGTGGGCAATTAGTAGTGAAATTCCTTTTGTAAATTCTTATGTATTTGCAGGAAATCTGGCATTTTAAACGAAATATTGAACGAAATATTTATACATCTACATGAATTACGTAATTTATGTGCTATTTAGCTGTATAAAAATTGCAAAAGGACTCAAAATTAAAATAAAACTACTATGAGATTTATGTAAACAGCCAATTTAAAAACAAGTTATGTTTTCATCAGTTAAATGTGCTTCACATGCATATACAAATAAACATATTGCACAAAAGCTTATACTTCTATTTCACAGCAAAGCTACACTTTTTCCAAGTAAATTTGCAAAGAAACAACACGGTGCCACTGCTAAGGGAGCGGTGCGAGAGAGACAACTGTCAGTTTATCGAACCTTGTATTATTGAATCCTGCAAATCGCCCAGTTTATGAGATTGCACACAATCAAATTGACGACGAATTTCGTCTGACGCCCTTCGCTCACGGCACCTTTAACGAACGGCCATAATGGAAAGTTTCCCCACCATTAATGCAATAAAAAATTAAAGCATTTTTCACAACTCTTCTTACAATTATCCAATCAAACATTAAATTAGCTTTCAAAAATAACTTGCCACCACCAATCATCCTGAATGATTTATTAATAACAGGTGGCAACATATATTTCCCCAAACTTCAATTGACCAATGTCCTGTCAACATACCATGCTGCTTCCATCATTTCTTGCTCTTGCTGTCGCTCTTGTTATTTGTCAAAATTTTTGATTGGCTTCTTTTATTTCTTAATTTTTTTGCACATTTCAACAGATATTTGTTCCAAAGAAACGGCGTGATTTTATATCTGTATATTTGTCTGGATAGATTATCTTGTTGACTTCTCTGCTCATCATAGAAAACGTGCAAGTTTTTGTTAGCAACCGCCCGTCGTGGAACTGGATGTCGTCTTCGTGTTAACACCTCCCCTTTTGCCATTCAATTAATTTCTGTGAACATTCATATGTAGTTACGTTTTATCTTAATTTGTTTCCACATTTTTATGTTTTTCTTTACTCTGCTTTTTGCTGCACTTTGTTTTGGCGAATTAATATTGGCGAAAAGAATAAATTGTTTATCAAACAAATAAAATATGAACCGAATACTCTCAACTTGCTTTTCGCTTTCGCGTCGTGTCTTCTTCCTGGATTTCACTTGGCTCTTGTCTTATTTTTTGCACCCGCTTTGCTGCTGTTTTTTGACAGTTCTCTTTGTGTCTGCTTTTCGCCGTCGGAAATATTCGCTGACAGCAGCGTAGAGAAATCCAATTTCTTGGGAGCGAAATTGCATCTGAAGCAGCGATGAATTGCAGCGACAGCGCAGCATATGTAAACGACTGCATCGGCCATATCTATACATGCGGCTCTGCTCACCGACGTGAAATGGATTCATATCCCTCTATGCAACAAAAGAATTTAACATACGAAGATATTAGGGTGTACGGCAAAAAAATGTTGAAACAATTTGCTTGTGAATGAATGAGTTATTCAACGGAATGCAGTGGAATGTGAACATCCTATTAATATTTATTTTTTTATTTATCCTATTTATATACATATTTTTTAAATTTTAATTCTTTACCTTGGTGAACGTTTATTTAAAAGTTATCTGCGTAGTTTTTGTGGCAATTAATTATTTTATTATTTTGTGCGTTTCCATACATATGTAAGTACTGTTAACGAGTGAAGAGTATGTACATATATAAAGATTTATAGAGAAATGTTTTTTTTTCTGTACGAATGTCCTTGCACGTGCAATACTGTTAGAGTACAACTCCACAACAAGCTTTTCAGGCTTTCAGCTACACAATTCAGCTATTGCTGAAAGCCTGAAAAACGATGAACGCCTGAAAAGCTTGTTGTAGAGTTGTACTCTAACAGTATTGCACGTGCAAGGACATTCGTACAGATAAAAAAACATTTCTCTATAAAAAAAATATTTACCAAATTGCTAAATATTTAATTTCAATTTGAACAATTAGTTTTATAAATTGTTATAGGCTAGAATGTATAATTTTCAGAAATTCAAAATGAATAGCTAATCACAAGGACTCTGAATAAATATTTTATTCCTTGTGATCTGTAAGATTTACAGCTGAAAAAAGAAAACACAAAAACAAAATATTTGCTCTTAAGTTAACGTGTTGAGTAATCATTGATGATTTCTTACGGCAAGTTAATTTAAGTCTGGACTAACTGAGCTTTAAGCCATTTAATTACGTAAATATAGTATTTGCCACAGTCACGGATACCTGGGTTCAGACTCTCTCAGCCTCCCGTTTCTTGCCAGCTTGACAAAAAACAAGACACATAATTATCTTTCCTTCCAAGGTGGAATGACTCACGTTTCAGGACCGAAGAGGAAAACTTAATGATTCTTGTATAAGCAAGATAAATTTAGAGATCAAGGGTGCCGGAGTTTTCAGATGGAGTTTTGTCTCCTTCGAGTTATACATTTTATGATGAAGAATGTAGTCTTTGATTTAATGGCAGATATTTTTAAAGTCTCTGAGATGTCATGAGAGTTTCCCAAAAAAACATTGAAGCCAGAGAACGATTAGAATTCTAATGTGTTTCTCGAAGGTAGGAGGTTAGAATACGATTAGAGAAACTGTCGAGAATTATAGTATTCTCTACAAAAAGGGGACTTAGATCTTCTCAATATCGAGAAATAGGTTAGATATCTAATCGTAAACTAACGTTGAATTCTAATTGGTTTCTAATGTGTTAGTGTGTTTCTAATCATTCTCTAATCAAATTCTAACATAGTTTTCTAACCTGATTTTCGATACGACAACTACATTAGTATTCTAATGTAAATTCAAAATATTTCTCTAACGTTAGAGACTAAGTGCCGGTTACTCAATGTCTGGTTAACGTTAATCTCCAGTAAAACATCGTTATCGACGTTACCGTTAATGTAAAATCAAAATATTTCTCTAACGTTGGAGACTAAGGGCT